CGTGGATACTGTAGCATTTATATAACAGGTTTTGCCCTTACCCAACGTATATATTAATAAACAATGTATGCTCATTGCTTGTCCGAGAGCTTCAGAACAAAGTCACAAGCTTACTCGAGTCCCATCCGACCCGTTATAAATTAACATCTCCCCAACGCAAAAATACATCTTGAAGATACTGCAGCACTCAAGTGGTGTCTAACGGAGCCCAAAAGCTACATATTAGTGTAGCTTCTTGAAGTGGTTAAAACCAAAACTAACCTAAGCTTGTTCAATTGTTCATGTTACCGACATTCAGCAATAGCACATGTACAAGTCTTCTGTATGACATGTGACATGGGCCCAAACAGCTAGGAAAATTGAACAAGAGAGGACTCCCAATACAAGGCTGTAGAACCCATTCGGTGCAGTTCCAGTACGGTATTCCAAGGGTCTCAAATTCCTATTTTTCTTCAATTAAAGACTGAATTAGAATGTGACACCTTTTTAGGAAACCAGCACTGACAAACATGATTCAACAGCTTACGAGCAGAATCACAAAAATGTTAAATTTTCAGGAAAAGAATAAGGTTAACAACAAAATGGCACTATTTTACCTTCAGAAATTCTTCAGAAAAGTTTTTAACAAAAAAGGTTTTAAAGAAAGGTAATTTTTCTGTGATACATTTCTTCAAAGTTCTTACTTGGTGATCCCCCAAATGGTTAGCCCATTCAAAGAGCAGATACATCATTAATGGCCAAGAACACAGACTACCCAACACACAGATATGCAGACAAACAGACAGACAGCTCGGCCTACCTGTAGTGCATGTATGAGTTGCTCATTGAGCGAGCTGATGACTTCAGCACTGGACACAGCCATTCCCTGTGGCAGCTGCATGTGGTGGAGGGTGATGGCACCCTGACCCGCATCCCTTAGCGCCTGCAGGTCTTGCTCTAGTCTGGCGATCTGCGCGAACAGAGGATGGGTCAACAAACTTTAAAAACTCACTGTGCACAAGATTCAGAGAACCAAAAATCTGATGGATGGAAATGGTCACGTTTTGCCTCTTCTTCATCCGAATGCAAGTTTATGACTCTCAGAGAATAAGTACAGGATTTGATTTGCAAATGAAAAACAGACGTGACAAAAAAATTTGTCCATTCCAGTCCACCATACATCTAGTCAGAGTTGATAAGATGAAGTTCTTTTGGAAGATTTTTGGCCTCTGCGCAGTGTCGTGTTACAAACCTTGTTGTTAGCCCTGTCCAAGTTGATGCCAGCCTTTTCGCATTCGTTCCTAATCTGGCGTAGCTCACGTCGTAGTTCTTCATTTCTGCCAGTGAGCTGGTCCAGCTGCGCCTTCATGACAACTTGTGCCTCGTAGTTCCCACCTGCCGTTTTGGCCTCAAGAAGCTGAGAAGCAGAAATGACAATCAGATACACACAAAATAATGACTGCATAAAGTGTCCATTCCAATTCTTGTTCTCCTTTACCAATACTGCATTTAGAAATATTCTATCCAAGATGAAACGGTGACAGAAATAAGCCAAAGTCAATCATTTTCCTGCTAGAGAGAACTAAGGTCGTGTTTAAAAAAGTACACTTGGCGTGAAAAGCTGTGCTACCACAAAAAACACACAGAGACTTTTGAGGAACTCACCTCCCCAGATACGCTGCCCTTTACTTCACGATCTCCTGAGCTTCAAGAAAGCCCAGCTCTGTTCCTCAAAATCTTTCTAATCTCCCGCCCTTGCTGTATCCCTTTGAAATTAACTGTTTGTAAAAGCCTATCTTTCCTGAAGGTTTTCATAATGAGCAAACTCCATAAACACTCGCAAGACAAATTTTTTTTTTCCATCATTACTCCTCTATCCTCCATTCACTTTGGGGGCGATGTGACCTAATTGTTAGGGTCTGTATTTCCGGTTCATACTATCTGGGATTCTAATCCAGCTGCTGGGCATATGTTGTGACCTCAGGCAAGGCAATGTACCCACACTTGCCTCTCTCTCCACCCAGTGAGGGTAGAGATGGTCATTGTGTTTGATGAGCTTTTGGTGTCTGAAATGGCGACATCAAGCTTGATACTGCCCCGGGGAATGGAGATGGTTTCAGAAAAATGTTTACAAGTTCGGTGAGCAGGGATAGTAATAAAGCAGTGCTTTGAGCACCAGTTATAATAATAATAATAATAATAATTTATTCATTTATAACGTGCAAATTTCATATAGATATGTTCAAATGCACTGTACAATGAAGACATTAAGCGTGGAATAATGAATACATTTAAAAATGGTTGAGTCGATGGCATACAAGGGCACCTCGGGCAGCTGCCGAACGACTCACATTCACCAACATCAGTCAAGGGGAGACAGTGAGAAGCTGTTACAGTTTTAGAGCTGGGAGGAAAACCCCAGACAAACAGTCTGGGTAAAACCCACGGAGTCAGGTAGGGACTGACAACTCAATCCACATGTGGACCAGTCTGGGAATCGAACCCAGGACCACAGAGGTGGAAGGCGAGGAAAGAACTACCTTGCCACCTGACTCCCCAGCACTGGTGGATATGTGCTCCTCGAAACTCCCCATTATTACTTTCTTTAGTACTTACCGCTACCAATCTCTCTAGGTTAGGGATCTGTAGCTCCCCACCGGTGCCCCCGCCACCGCCTGCTTGTTCCTTCAAGGCCTGCAGGATCTCCTTCATGCTGTTCTCTAGCTGTCTGTTCTCCTCCACTAGCTGATGGTTGCGGGCCTCCAACTCCGCCACCTGGTTGCGATTGCGTTCCGTCACCTGGTCGGCTCTGACCAGTTCCTGCTCCAGCTGCTTTGCCTAAGGTTGGACAACATTTTTTTGATTTTAATGCTCTGAGATTGCATTATTTTTTCCTCCAAGGTTTCTAAATGTGAAACTCAAAGAACCCCAATTCCCTGAACAATCACAATGACAGCGGTGTCCACAGCTAGGTTACATTCAAACTGACCAGCCAGGGTCAATAAGGTAAGAAGAAATGTGGTTAGGACATCTGCACCAGTAAGCACGAGGTCAAAGGTTCAAGTTCCAGCCAAGCCAAACTTCCTGGAAACTGCCAAATAGCATTAAGGTAGAGGGTGCCTATGAAATTACTTTGGCAAAGAGCAAAATTCAACATTAAAAGTCTTTGAAGAATGTCAGCTTCAAATTTTAGAGCAGAGCTCTTAACAATCCTGTCTGTCTTTCTAGATGATATACAAAACAACAACTCTTCCACCCCTCCAACAGTCTGCAGTACTTCAATGACTTCAAGGTTTTCAAAAAATTTGTCGCCAATTCTTGCCTGGCACAAAATAAAATTTTGAATAAAAATAAAAGATAAACTCTCGACTGAATCCCACAGCAAGTTTGGTCCACCAGAGAAGCACCGTGTCTCACCTTGAGCCTGAGTGAGTCTGCCGGGCCTATCTGCTGCTCTCCTTTCACCAGCTGTGTCACCGTGTCCCCCAGCCCCACCCTTCCGGTCTTCTTCTTGGTCTTGAGACCTTCCGTGAACTCCTCAATGGCCACCATGTCATCCGCAGACAGGCCCAGGGCCACTGCCCTGGATGGTGAAAATAAAAACGGAATCGAGGCTCACAGACAGGGGCTAATTTTGCTTCACAGGAGTGACATCAGTAGGTGTAGAGAAATCTCCCAATCGTACAGCTACAGGGTTGTTACAATATTAGGACTTTTCAGGGGTTTGGAGAGAGATTTCCTTTTTCTGAGAAATGGCTACAAATGAGTTAATCTTTTTCCCTTTCTATTAAAAGTGCCAGAAAGTATTCTAAGCATAGAAACGTTCCTAAGTCACTAAGGCATTTCACGAGGAACCCTGCGTGAGATTGTCCAATACTTTAAACAAAATACAAACCAGCATTGCTGGGACCCTACCTTTGTGCTCTCTGCTGAGCCAAGAGACGAACCTGTTTCTTCAGTTCCAACCTCTCTGCTTCAAGTCTCTCCAACTCTTGGCTCAACACCTGCAACCAAACCAATCAATCATCGTTCACTACTCCTATGTTCCAATACCTAAACTTGCTCCATGATGAAATCTGTCACCAATGCTAAACAGTGAAATACAGGAGCTGTTTTCTAAAGGGCAAATTGCTGCAACCATTGCTAAGCCAAGATGACACAGATTCCTAGAAAACCAGTGTTAGGCTGTGTCAGAAATGGGCATTGATGAGCTTTGGGCAAGAAACAAAGTAACAACTGCAAAATACCCAAAGTTGCTAAAAAAATACCCCATCCCTCAAAAGCTGATAATAATTTTGTGCCACCAAGCATCATGCATTCCATTAAGCAACAAAAGAATTTGTTCCATGTTAAATTCAGCCGGGGTGAGAATGGAAGGCAGAGAGAGAGAGAAATCAACAAAAAATCCAGCAGAGGAGTTGTAACGACAGTGAAATATTGCAACTCCTGTGGGATTGAAATAGTTAACAAGGCATGAGTTCTCCCTTTACAATCGCTCTTAAAGATGAGAATCTTGCATTTGCATTTTTGCTAAAAGTGCCAAGAACAAAATTAAAAAACGTAAAAATTTCAGGGTGGAAAATTCCAAAACCAGGGAAAACTAAATGAGGATTCACACCTCTGGTAGAGTATTCTGTGAGCACAGTCTTTGTGAACTCACCTGATTCAGAGCTCTGTCCTGCTGGTGCTGCAAGGCTTTGGACAGTCTGACCTGGCCAAGGTCGAGGGGCTCCTTGGGGTCAAGGCCTAGCCTGCCTCGCAGTTCCTCGTTCTCTTCCAAGAGGTCATTCAGGCTCATCTCCAGCTTGTTGACATTCTGCGTCAGCTGCTCGATATTTCTGTCAATTTAAAGGCCACCCAAAAAATAACTGAACAACTCGATTCCCAGAAATAACAGGAACAAACACATGAAATTCAAACATTTTGAAATCAGTACCAATTATTAATCATCTTTTATCCGAGATCATGAAGAATCTACATACTGTATGCAGTTGACGGTGCAGAAATAATCTGGCTGCTTATACACTAATTACTGTCGGAAAAACATCTACGGAACAGCGAAATTAAACCCAAAACCAAGATGGACAAACATTCCTACCGATCTCGTACAGCAACATTTTTCTTGCACTCCTTGATTTCCTGCACAGCTTCAGCTAGACCATATTCACCCTGACATCAGAAAGAAAACATTTTATACATAACTACTGACAGACCCGATATCCTTGTGAAATTGATAACTCTTTTCTTACACTCTGGGAGTAACACTGTTTCCCATTTACAACATCTCATAACGTAAGATCCATGAGATGAAGCACTCAAAACAATTCCAAGGTTGGCAACGTTTGTTCTTGAGAAACTAAGAGTCAGCAACCATTGGTTGGAATCACTGGTAAAATGTCACTTGATTGGGGGGCAACAATGTTTCACATGTGTCCACATTAACCCCTTCAAGGCGGGATTATTTTGACCGTGACTGCTTGGCAGCGGTATGCCCTGAATGGAGGGCTTTGTCCAGCAGCAGGCCCCAGTGAACCAGCAGCTGCATGGTGAATAGACTGTATGTGTGGTATGCACTAATCCTCACACAATGTTGCGGTAGTAGCAGTCCTCCGTAGCGAAGGGGTTAAATCACTGTCCATTAGTTGGGGCTGAAATTAGGCTTTCTGTCACCAAAATTAATCTAATACATTACTGGTGAAATTCCACTCCAGTCAAAATATATCTTTTGTGGATTTTCAAAGTCACCGTCAACACAAAGAAAAAGTCTCCAGTTCTGATTTGTGGCATTCTGCAGGGTTCCCGTTTCAGCTGCGTTGGACTTTTGTTGCATTTAGAATGGTGCCCAGAGGGGCTACGGTTTATAATGGCTGAAGATTCTGCACAACATTCTCCTCTAACCCCTGGTTACTTGTACTCACTGCTTCATATTCCCTCATCCTAGCCAAGGCCTCGTTCAGCTGCTTGTCCTTCTCTCTAGCATCGGCCTCAGCCTGCTGCATACCTTCCTCTGCTCGCTTCCCTTCCCTCTCTTGATCCTTCAGGGTGGCCCTCAGGTCGCGTATGGTGTTCTGCATCCGCACTCCTGGTGCTGCACAGAGAAATGCTACACTGAAACTTTCCTGAGGATGACTGGGCTATGTAACTAGATGAGAAAAGCCCAAGTTTTAACATCTCCTCAGGGATTATTTACACAGTGCTCTCAGCTAATTTATCACAGCCATTTCAAAATAGCTGCAGGATTATATTTAATACTACACTGTCACAAAAAAGTGCCCACCTCCAAACAAAATATAAAATGCCAATGACACAAAAGTGAAACGAGACAATAACTCAAGATGACATAAGTCAATGCAACTTGGCTCAAACACAGAAGGCAAATTCCATGTCATAAAATGCTTGCGGCCAAATTTAGCCATAGCCGAAATGTTTGCATTTTTGGCAAATGATCCTCTTTTTTGACAAGTTTTCTGTAATCCTGTTTATTTCATCCTACTAATGGTTACTCTAAACACAATACATATTACCTTTTTTTTCATATTGTTACTGAGACTACATTTTCAATACTATCCAAGGATGGGAGTCGGGGAACCATCCTTACCTCCACCCTGTGTTGCATCCTTCTTAAGCTCTTCTAGCTGGCTGGTCAGGTCAGCCATTTCATCTGCTGATTTCTCCAGCTCTTTCTTGAGGGCTTCCAGCTGCAAGTCTTTGTCTTGCAAGGCCTGGATTTCACCACAAGAGAAGTGAAGTTACTCATCAGTGACTTTTTGAGAACACACAACATTCCCGCTCTGCATTGGATGCTCTTTTCCACAACAAGGTCACTCACAGTATTGGCAACAAGACAAAAATGTGGCAGTGTTGGTGATCTTTTTCTGCATTTTAAATAGAAACTGTAAGTTGATATCAGTAGAGCAGTCAGTTTGGCGAAAAAGTTCTTTCCTCGCCTTTCACCTCTGCAGTCCAAGTTCAATTCCCGGCTCGGTCCACGTGTGGATTGGGTTTTCAGTCCCTACCTGGTTCCGTGGGTTTTACCCAGAAATTTCTTCTCTGGGGTTTTCCTCCCAACTCTAAAACTGTAACTGCTTCTTATGTCTCTTCACTACAGATGTGGGTGGATGTGGGTCATTTGGTAGCAGCCTGAGGTGCCCTTGTATGCCCTTGGCTCGACCACATTTAATGTCTTTATTGTACAGCACATTTGAACATATCTGTATGAAATTTGTGCTTTACAAATGAATTATTATTATTACAAGCAATAAAACAAGTGAGATTGTTTACGTGAATGTTGGCAAACCCACGGTTTTCATATCAAACATGGTTTCACTAGCCATACTCATTAGGACTTAATACCTCTACCAAATCTGGCTGTTACCTCAGGCCTGCATGCGCCACTGTAACAATTGAACTTTAAAAGCAGTGAACTAAGGAGTTCAAATAACGTGTGGAAAAAAAAGAAACACAAACAAGACTTGTTGAACTATTCAACTCCTTGCTTCTTAAAGATACCCAAACTTCGTAGGAAAAAAGTCACTTGGACTCAGGAAAAAAGGCACTGGACTTGGCCTCCGAATCACGTGCCTCCTTCAGGTACACAACAGACCATGGAGAGCACAACAGCAGACAAATATACAGGTATGAAGTTCACATGATGTCTGTTTGCTTTACGGCAATCCTTTTTTCAACACATACCTGTGACAGCACTACGACTGATGTCTTGTCGGTGTCCATGTAAGCCGCCGTTAACTGCTCCTTCTGCTGTCTGATGATGTCATTAAGTTCAGCTATCTGTTCATCCTTATTAACCAGCGCTTCCTTCAAAAACATACAGAAAGTGTAAACTGAGATCTCAAGATCATTAGGAAGAATCAATTTGATTCTAAGCCTGATACTGGGTCTCTCTAGCATAAAAAAACACACTGTAAGTCACACCTTTCCACCGTCGATCAAAGAATGCACTCTCACATTCAACTGTGCTTAATGATCACCAGAAAAAATTTCAAGTTTTACTTTGCTGGTTTTATGTTCTAGAAATCCTAGTTAAAAATTCCAACGTTTATTACTGACAAAAATTTGGGATAAATGCAGCATTGCTTCAAAAATCGGAAAGAGGATGTCAGGTCCTTTCTACCTTCATTCTGGACCTACCAATTTCAGTGAGACTGCTTTACAGATAAGCAATCTAATCTGTCCTTAAAAGCTGTGCATTACAACTAAAACAAATACTCGTCATTTTCATTTCTATGGCTCATGTATGTAGTTCTTTTCTCTAATTATCATCACGTTTGTGTGTGGAGTGTTGACATATCATCTAACTTGATTTTAGAATAAAACAATTTTATATATATCGTACCTATAGATTTACTAATTAATCATGAATTATTTTTAATATATGTTGTGAAGCATTTGAGACAACCTGTGTAAAATGCTATATGAAGAATAAGGTATTATTATTTTTATTATTATTTCAATTTCCTCAATTAACCGTCCAAATTTCTTGTAAAAGGAGGATCAGTTAATGAGCCTTGAGACTTACTTTCCATTCATCTACTTTCTTGTTGAGTGCTTCCATGATTTCATCATCAGCACCGGACTTACCACGGAGCTGGTCGGTCAGATCTTGGATCTAACAAAGTAGGATAACCACAAAAATTAGTGGACTACTGAGTGACTTCTTTCCACTTTTAATTCCGACTCGTTGCATGAAATTTCAAACTCTGATATCAAGAAGCATCAGTTACTTCATACCGCATGCCAACCTCATCAAAACGATGGGTAGCATTGGCAAAAACAGCTATCATCATCTCATTTCAGGAAATGAAAGAGTACAAATTGTGGCTTAAAAGGATTTACAGCTGTTTCAGTACAAATCGGTTCACCAACAGCCATCAGCAATGCTCCTCATGTAACATTCTAAACCTGTTAAATACTGGCATGCAACTCGAACTTTGGCTTAAAAAAACAAGGAAGAAATTCCAATCTTTATAAAACTTTGTACAACGTTTTTCAATTTTTAATGGCATGAGTATGAAGTGGAAAAACAAGGAAATAAATCAGCTGATCCAAGGAAAAGTTGCATGCCTGAATAAAGCATAATTTTTTTTGCATTCAGTAGGTTTGTAAGCATAGCCAGCTCCATAAACGCAGCTTCTCCAACGCTGACCTGCTCTCTGAGTATCTCATTCTCCTTGTCCAGTGTCTGCGTCACGGTGTCCGACTGCTGCAAGACCAGTTTCAGCTTGGCGTGGGCTTCAGCCATGCTGTCCATGTCCTTGGCCGCCGTCTCCAGCTTGGAGGTCAGGTCGGCACATTGGTCTTGGAGCTTCTCATTGGCCTCGGTAAGATTCTGGGGAAGAAGAGGGAGTCTTTTGAAATTCAATCTTATAGACTACATGTAGATGTTTAATCTGCTGAGGTAGACACCGTAACAATCCAGACATGCTTCCTGGCAGTCCCTACGACTGGGTGTTGTGAGCACTCCATACATCAGCCTTACATGGCACAGTAACCTGCCTATGTGAATATCAGTTCCTAAGCCTGACTGTTTGTTAAGAAGCCTTGAAACAACTCTTCATGACAAAACTGATTCATCTGTAATTTCACTGTATTCCTCTTCTCAATTAGGAAACAAAGCATACTTTATTCCAGAGCTTTTAGGAGCAAACATCTTGTGCCACAGTGTTTGCAGCGATAAAAAGTTGTTGGTCGCACGATGACACGCTATCCAGGGAGCACCAACTCTAAGTGGACTATACATTAGGTGTAGCCAATGAAATTTAGTGGGGATGGATACACAACAGCTTGACGGCACAGTCTCAATGTGCCTTACAATCAAGATCTCCTGGAGATGAACGCAGCACGCTGTTCACAACACCGAAGAATTCCTTCTCATCATCAGCTCTTCTCCTTTGTTTCCGTGGTGAACCCTCTTAAACAACCCACTTCCTTGTGCATGATACTTTGATACATAGCTTCCATCAACACTTACTAAATATCTTCACTTGCCCCTGCCACCCATACAGGGCATAGGGAAGAGCACATGCCTTTCAAAAACTCATGTGAGAAAAATATATCGCAGTTACAGAAAGGGCAGAGCACTTCCCACATTCATTCACGTATATTCAGTGCACAATGTGTCACATGCTCACGGCAGTGTAGACCTGTGTTACTGTTCCAGTAAGTCTATCCAGTAAGTGCATGACAAAAACTGCATCAGGCATCCTTCCCAGCGACCTCTCTGGCAGTGAAAATGAGAAAATATTATCTTCCCTGCAAAGTGGTACCAGCCTTGCTACACAGCAAATGCCCCCAGCGGATCCTGACCTGAATTTCCTCCAATTGGTCGTTCAACTCCCTGTTCTTCATGCGCAGCTTGTCGTGAACCTCCACGTCATCTCCGCGGCGCTGCAGCATGCTCTCACGCTGTGATTCCATCTGCCGCTGGTAGTCCCGCAGATCTGTACGCAACATGTCATTCTGGGAACCAATAAAAGAAGAATTGTGAATTCAGGCAGATTACAAATGAGTAATGAATTTGAAAGCATATGTTCAAACCAAAACAGTTTGTCATAAAACAATTCATCAGACAGCTGTACATGTGTACAGTTATGCCAAATTTTCATGTAGTTTTCACCAAAGATCGTATAGCGCCGAAAGCGCAAGATGGATAACTCTGCCCAAAAGGTGTAATTACCAAGGGCACCATTTGAGCAAGCGATACGCCTGCGCAGTTCACAGTAATGCTTGGACGCAGGTTCACCAGGTGTACGTGGCTGCCGCGGCGCCTGGGCCTGTGCATTAATGTGCATTGTGCAGGCGTATCGCTTGCTCAAATGGTGCCCATGCAATTACAATGTTTTACGTGTATTCACGGTGAAGTTCGCCATCTTGCGCACTTTGCGGTGCTATATGATCTTTGGTTTTCACACTATAATACGGGCGTTTCACAATAGCGTGCCCCCAAGCATTTACAACGCATTGCCCAAACACAATGCACAAAATCTGTCGACCCAATGCACGTTTGTCGACCCAATGCACGTTTGGAAAGGGTCGACAGATTTCGCACATTGTGATTGGCCAATATGTTGCAAACTCTTGGAGCCGCGCTATAATGAATCACCCGTATTGTTATAACTACCAGATTTGTACATGATAACACTCTTAGGGTAAATACTTGGCCAACCATTTTTTCTGAAAGCATAAGCGAGAAACTGCAAAGCACAATTGCCTAGTTACAAAACTTATAGTCTTAAAAAAACAAAAATGACATTAGATTAATACAAACAACTGTGCCAAAATGAACATTTTTAAATATTTTCTCGGACTAACGAAAGGAAACCACTCTGTATGACTTGACAAACTGGATGTCTTGTAATATTTATCAAACGTCACAGAAAACAAAATCATTTTAATTTTACAAACTTGTAAAAGTATTAACCCCTTCTCGACAGG